CATACCTTTCCCAAGGGTATTAACACGTAAGTGAATGCAATGGATTCGACTGGAATTCGAACTCGGCTCTGCGATTCCTGAATCCAAGGCGCTATCCATTACTCCACCGCGCCTCCTTTATATACATATAAAGCGTTGTTTGTCGTATTAGCAGATAATGCAATTCGCCGCGATGGCTCGGCGTTATATATATTATTATGAACACATTTAATTATCGAAAAATGTTTATTTATTTATATATTTACGGTGTGTGTGTGTGGCATCCGTCAGTTTTGAGAGACCATGGATCTGTGCCCCCAAAATTAGGCCTCAGCTGCTGATGGCGGCGCAGCCTCTGTTATTGTACAGGCCCACACGAAAACGTCTCCGTCTTTGTTGTTCTGTTGCTAATCTTTTTATTCCGGGATATATTCCTATTTTGCTGCTACATGAAAATTTTAAGATGAAAAGCTGTTGAGCAAAAAGCGATTTATATCAGGTCATCCCATAAGTTCTGTCCGAATTTTGAATAAAGAAAACATGTGACTAAATGTTATATTTAATTACAAATTCAATCAACAATGTATTTTCTCTGATTATCTATGATTTCCTTCCATCTATTAACAAGCTTACTAATTCCATTACTGTAAAATTCTTTTGGCTTCGATTCGAAGAACTCACAAATGTCAGTTTTAACCTCTTCCTGTGTTACAAAAGCTGTTTCTTCCAAATGATTTTGTAAGCTACGAAACAAATGGTAGTCTGAAGGAGCAAGATCGGGAGAATAAGGTCGATGAGGAATTTTCTCCCAACCAAGTTCCTCGATCTTTTGTGACGTGATTCTTGCTGTGTGGAGTCGCGCATTGTCCTGATGAAACATCACCTCTTTTCGATTCACTAGAGCAGGTCTTTTTTTCCTCAAAGCTTGGTTCAAACGCTCTAAGTGCTGACAGTATATTTGAGCATTAATTATTGCATTAGGTGGTAAGAATTCAAAGTGGATTATTCATCGGCGATCCCACCAGATTGAAAGAAGAACCTTTTGCCCATGAAGTTCCCTTCTCGGCTGTGGCTGGGGTCCTTCCCTTTACTAAGCTACTGTCTACGACGCTTAACATTTCGATAAAAGATCCATTTTCGTCGCAGGTCACAAGTCTATCCAAAAGGTGAAACAAGTTGGCGAGAATGGAGAGAAGAGCAGATGTCAACTCAGGATTTGAGGTTGTTTTCAGACAATTCACGAGGCACCCATTTTCTAAGTTTAGGAACTTTTCCAAGTTGTTGAAGATGACGATGAACAGTTGTATGGTTTGAACTGAGAACCACTGCCAATTCCTCAACTGATAAAGCAGGATTTTCTTCAAGGGCTGCTTCAAGAAGCTTTTCATCAAACTCAACTGGACGTCCAGTCCGATCTTCATCTTCAAGGGTGAAATCTCCACCTCTGAATTTTGCAAACAATCTACTGCAAGTTCTTTCGTTCACACATTCCTCTCCATAAACTGAGTGAACGTTTCTAACCGCTTCGGCTGCTGAGTTTCCTTTCTTGAACTCATAAAGCATTATGTGCCTCAAATGATTCTTGGGTACTTCCATGTTAGCAGGGTTTTAATCAAACAAAATTTAATTTTATTGTTCTCTGAAATAAAATTTGATCAGTTTAAATGCATCTAAACATAAAAATAATGTTCAGCTCCATTAGACATAATAAAATACTCTTTAAATTTCGTTTATTTTAACAAAAAGTTAAAATCCAGACAGAACTTATGGGATGACCTGATATAGTACCAAGACTGTTAAATGGATCATAAAATACAATTGAACGTTTAAAAAATATATATGAAGGCAACAGATAAATGAAATGGTTGTCTGTGTTTAACTTTTCGACTTTGCACAGATGGCCGTAAAATAAGAGCGCCGAAAAATTAAATGAACAAAATTGAAAAAATTAATAATATATGAAAATGCTTAATATATTAAGAACACATCAACGATGTCGAGATTATAACATCATTAAGATTTCCACCATCTTGTTAATGGCGTCAACGTATCCTCCTCTTCGACTGGTTGCCAGTTACAGTTAGGGAGACCAGTTTTCGCTGCTGTTTAACCCATAGTTGGGAGGAGATGAGATGAATCCATACCTTTCCCAAGAGTACTTGCGCGAAGTGAATGTAACTAACTTACGAAGTGGAATTCAAAATCGGTTCGTTGCTTTTTAATTCTCAGTCGCAAACCATTAAACCACCTGAACACTTAAGATAGTAAAAACGAAATACGATATTTAGAAGGTTATTGTCCAACAGTTAATCTTCAAGGTACATTACTCTCCGTAATTTCCTGTATTTTGTAATTTTTAAGTAACTTTTGTTTGTATCTCATTCACACGAACTCGCTCAGTCGTTAACTTAAACTTTTCGCTACATTCCTTAAATTCAGTATGTCGTTCGAGAGCTAAATTATTTGAAACCTGTTTTCCCATTAGACGTCCCCAAAATAATCCTTTTTGAATGTAACTACAAGTTTCTTTGCCATCCCTATAGGGTTGGTGCATAATTATTAGGCGTTTTCAAATAATATTTATTATGAAATAAGAAACATAACAATTCAACAATAACATTTTTAAATGATTATTCCGGAGCGTATGTTTATCGACTCGCATTTTTATAAACTGAAAATAAAATAATATTTTTATTAATAAAAGTAAACAAAACAGCAATTTTTATTAATAAATAACTCCCCGAGTAAAACGCCTGATAATTATGCACCAACCCAATTTGTGATTTGGTGTTTTACTATTTGTAGGAGAGGGTCATTGGTTTTTTGTGAGGCACGCTTCCAATCCGATTGTTGTAGTTTTTAGAGATAATTCAAGCTGTTATTATTATTATTATTATTATTATTATTTCCTTTGATTTCAGTTCTATAGCAACTGCCTCCTACTGAAAATGTGTGTAAAAAATAACAGAACCTAAAAAGCACATAGAATTTACACCGATAAAGCCCTTTGTAAGGGGTGAACTGTGCTTTTGAGAACACTTTTTCTGTAATAATTTTGAATTTAATAATTTATTAATTATTAATAATAATGATTGATTTAATGATAATAATAATTATTGTTTTTTGTCTGTAGATATGATTAATTATCTATATTATCTCTCAATCTCTATATATCTAACACAAAATATTAGTAGAAAAGTATGTGCTTCTCCAACAGGAATCGAATCTATGCGAACCATCATTTTATCTGAATCAGCAGAAAATATATTAAATAATTATCGGATTTAATCCATTTCATAAAAATGTTGTCAATGTTTACGTTAAGGTACGTTTCGTGAAAGATTGTCGAACATTTGTTGCTGATAAGCAGTAATTCGATCTTTGCTAGCCAGATGATTCTGGCTGAATGGTTAACAGCACACCAGAACAAATAATGGTTTCCTTTGCAGTTGCACGTTCGATTCCTGTCAGTGAACCCCATATATTTTACAAATATTCAGGCCGATATATATATATATATATATATATATATATATATAAGCAAATGCTCTGTTTATGATAAACAGTATTAAATAACATTTACCGGCCTGAATGTCCGAGAAATTTTCATAGAAATATATATATATATATATATATTTGGTTGAATAGATGTGAGTTTGTGACCCTGGGCTTCACGCTTTAGCGATCGTCAGACAAACCGATTAATGTTTTAAAAAATTTGGGTTTATGTAGATTGCGTGTATTGGTGTTATTGTGGAAGTGGTGGGGGAAATTTCGTCGTTTTGTCATTCATCGTACTAACGCAAACATCGATGTATGCAGACACATATACATACTTGGTCGTCCGTCGGGACTCATACATATATAAACGTATGTGGGCAGTTTCGGCTATGACACATGTATGTATACGGGTGAAGTTGTGTCTATACATACGCATTTGTATGTTGAAATATATATATATATATATATATATATATATATATATATATATATATATATATATATATATATACACACACAAGTATAGCATTAGTGTATACGGAATAAATTCCAATAACCAAAAAATACTATTCTTAAAATAGTGCTCAATACAGTGTAGAGCATATATAATTTATTCGAAAACCTAAGCATGTTATAAACTATAACATAAACAAGTTATAAAATCACTACAAGCATGTTTATGTTATAATTTTCTCATAAATTATATATATATATATATATATATATATATATATATAGAGAGAGAGAGAGAGAAAGAAAAGAAAGAGGGTTTTTAAACGATCATCTTTCCTGAATGTATGAGGTGAAAGTGGAAGTTAGTGCTGATTATAAAGATGCATATGATAGGTAGTATTTGGCCCTAGGTTTGAAAATATTAAGATTGTAGAGTTCCAGGAAGCATAATTTCGGGATTCTGTTCCATAAAGTAGCGACTCTTCGGGATATGCTGCCCGATCGGATCTTCTTTCTTACCAACTGAATATGAAGGGAATGAACCTGATCCCCCCCACTGCGCATATATCACGGCTAGTCTTAACTGTAAATGTCTGAAGTGGTAAAAATAGAGATTATTGCTCGTCAGAATATATATTCTAGGGAAGTTGCGATAGGTTTGCATTTGTGGGAGAATGGTGGAAAATTAATAATCGCTAAGGCCGCGTAGACGGTTTTCATCTCTGTCAAGTTTAGAAAGTGAGTTTTGGCCAGCTCCAGCCTAGATATGAAAGCAATACTCCAATTATGGTGTATATAGACATTGCCTTAAAGAACATTTTCTACCTCTGTACACAGAACATAGATAGATAGATAGATGGATGTGTGATGTCTCTTCTTTTACTTCTGTTAACCTATTTACATATATCTTCTTAACTGAATTACTTTATTCGAATAAAACCAGTGAACAGTAAAGCCAGCGTCCGTATCATCAGGGATGTCTTTTCGACATCGGCCAATTTCTTTGTTCATGATTTTTATTTTTGGTGCGAAGTTTGGCAAATATTAAGAGTCGTCTTTTCTTTCAGTTTCAAATATTCTTTTCTTTTCAACGATATGGAAGGCAATAAACGTCGAAAGGGAGAGATAGATAATTGCGGAATCGACACTCCAGAAAACTACCTTATCTATGAGAAACGCTTTTTCTTATCATTAGGTTCTATTGTAATCGCCAAGCTGCTGTTAGTCGTGGGAGGAGAAGCCTTAAAAGTGAATCCTATTTAAATGCCTAGCCCATCGGGGTGACGTTAAGTAGATTCTTTTAAACAGCTATAAGTTTATTTTTTATATTAGTTCATTCCCTAATTTACTATTCATCTTGTTACTTCCCCCACACCAATGAAACGATTTTTCGCAAGTATCTCGTGTTTAAGTCGACCCAGCAAAGTAAAACATTTATTATAAATAAGCAAATTTTAACGATTTTATTAATAAAAATGTACCCGTCAAAGGTGAGTCCTTGTTCTTTGTAATGTTAATTCATACAGAAATATATCAACTTTCAACAAATAGTTATTCAAATTAATTTCAATCTAATATTATTGCAATACTAGCAGCATGGCCTGGCGTTGCCCGGGCTTGATTCAAAAATCTTACGGCGCATACAGCAATCGCTATCACTTGACTTAAAATATTTTTGCCCTTCCTTGCATTTAAAGTAATGCCCTTTGCCGTCCTGATGTTGCTACATGCCTTATTTCTTGCTTATCTCACACTGCGAATTTTTCTATGCTCTATACTAAACATTAAATCTGTTACGAAAAAAGAACTAAACAAAATGAACACAAAACAAAGCTTTAAAAAATGACTCGTAAAAAAACCGAATGAAAAAAGAATGTTAACAACAAATACTTTTTCACACGCAACCCAGTTCAGCGGAATCACAATCAAGGTTGAGTTTAAGCAAGCGAATGAGCCAATTGGAGTAAAGTGTCATGCAGATTTAAATTTTTCCCACTTGTGACGAATGCAGCTATCGATTTTTTTTTGCATGCTAGCATACTAGTTTACATTCGTGTCAGTCAGCTGTTGGCTCTCACGCTGGCCAATAGAATCTTCCTGACTATTCGTGGCAGCCAGTTATAGGCTCTCACTCTGGCCAGTACAAAATGGCCGCAAACTACATGAAAACTGTTGTAGAAACATGAAAAATCGATTATTTCCACTATCGATGGGAGTTGGGAAATGCAAAGACGGTCTTGCCCTTCCCGCTAACTTGGAGCATGTGCATGTAAATTTTGGTGCATATCCGTCGGAAATTGCGACCGTGCATTCGTTACAAACACACACACACACACACACACACACACACACACACACACACACACACACACATATCCTGCCTTTTATAGATAGAGATTAGTTGCTTCTAGAGCTTATGATATTAAAGGTAGAATTTTGTTTATTATTTTTAATATTATCTGTTATTTCCCAGGTAGTATTTATTACACAGTTTACGTTAAAATGCAATGTCACAAAATTTATTAAGATTGTTAATATGTGACTTTATGATTGCCCCCCCCCCCTCGCCAACACCAAAGAAGAGGACGTTGCAATTTCAATCTCAATGATTTATGGTCAGCGAATAAAATCCTTGACTTCAGGTCTTCTAAATGGCATCCATTTCACCGACACGAAACAAACGTATAAATAAGTAAAGAAAACTTTTAGCATCAAGTGTCAACAAAGCCGGACGTAGATAATTTCCGGCTGCTGGTCTATATTAACAGTCACAGTGTACACAAGGAAATGAGTTCTGGGAGACAGTCTTTTGGCTAGTTCCGATGACGCCCATTATTGTTGCTAGCTACACACCGTGATGTCGTGATAGGCAGGGAATTAGTCGGATGAAAGAGCTTAGCTATTAGTCCGACATGGCAGAAATTGCCAAAAAGTACCGCCTGCCTACCAGAGCGAGCTAGTGGAGGTCTGGAATAAAATGCCTACATTTAGTGGAAACAGAGTTCGATTTCTCCTTTTTAGCCGTGGAGCTTATTTTCGTCTTTCAATTCCTTGTGAACATGCAGACGTACTTTCCAAGTTTTTGGCGCAAATCGATGAGAACGAGAATGAAGATTCAGTGTCGGATTGGCAATGGCCGGTCGCTGGAAAGCTGAGTGAGAATTCAGTTGTATGTTTTAAAATATAACCTGCGATAGTGGAATTTATTAAACACTTTATATTAGTTGCGATATTGAATGTAGCATTTATTAAATTAATGCGTTAAAATTTCAATCCCGCTTCGCAATATGAATCTGTCGCAGCATCATAATTGGTGGAAAAGTAAATGCAACAATACACGCGTCCATGCCTATAGTATAGATTTGATATCCGTGGGGAATGCTTATGGCTGACATTACATTGTCTTCAGATGTTTTACAATTCAGCTAATTATATTTTCAAGCAAAAATATGAAAATATTTTCGGAAGTTTTTTTCTTTTTAATCATTTCGCTCAAAACAAAGCAATAAAGCCACTAAGATGTTATATCTAGTCAGAAATTAATGCAAAACTTACGGACCGAATAGGTCTATTGTAACATTCCTTTTCTTTTTAATCATTTCGCTCCAAACAAGGCAATAAAGCCACTAAGATGCAAGCGGATGTCAGTTCTAATTCTTTGTGAAATGACTGCAAAAGACCCTTCTCCCCAATTTATAGACGAAACACACAGATGCATGCTGGGATTTCTTCCTAGCTAATAAGATAGACCACTTCTTGGATTAATCAGACTTAGTTTTCTATTGAGTACAGGACTCTGTGATCGATTGTCTGTATCCTCTTCTGTGTGTTACCACCATTCTTAGTTTGTGAACTTTTTGCCTTATTACTGTTGCTTTGCCTTATTACTGTTGCTTTGCCTTATTACTGTTGCTTTGCCTTATTAATTTTGCTCCGCCTAGCATGTATTGTTTGCTTGCTCAATATTATTTCTCCTGTTCTTCTCTTTTCTTTCTCTTCTTATTTTTTATTGCAAACATTGTCAATTTTGTTTGATTGGACATTTCTGTCATTTACATTCAACCACGCCCAATTCCTCTACAAGGGTTACTGACTGTGAGAGAATATAAGTGTTATGGGACCTTACCTATAACGATAATGGACTCTTTCTGACACTATAAATACTGCGCCTCTCAAGAGGTATAATGAATGAATGGTGTAACCAGCACCATGTCTGTTGAACTTTGGCAGAGAGGAACCCGGGCGAGGCTTTGCCGAAGGGCAAGGTTTCGTCCGGGGAGGTAGACAGGCCCTGAACCCGTCTAGGCGGGTTCAAAGGGTATATTTTTGGCCGAGCCTACGGACTCGGGAAACCCACGTTAAACTCGGCCTTGTGCAACATGCAACCCTCGTGGGGGGTGGCTAGATACCGAATGAATGGTGTAACGAGTCGAGACAATATTAGTTCACTCTTAACCAGATGGACAGTCATTACTAACGCCTTCAACTTCTTGTACTATATTTCTGTTGTAATATATCTTTGTTATTCTACACTTGTGTTCGTGTTGTTCTTCATTGGTTCTAACCTTGGACCATAACTGTGGTGCGAGGATATTGGACCATAACAATAAGAAAAGGAAATACCTTTTTAAGGAGAGCGAACATTAAAAAAACAGGTATTAAGATTGCAAAAGTTAAAGATTGGCGTTGCATTTAAAAGAAAGCAAGAAGCCTGAAGATAGTTCCACAAAACGGGGAGCGCAAAAGAAAGAATAAGCACAGAACTTACGGTTATATCCATCTATTTCAACTGTAAGATGATGAGACCTAGCTGCCAAACTAGTACTGCGCTTAAATTCATAAAGTCTACGCGCTCATCAGAACAATTACCATAAAAGTATTTCCAGAAAAAGACGCAGGGAAGCTACACTACAGCTGTGAGAATGTGACTGAATACGAAATGCCAGGACCGATAACATTTCAGATTCTTCTTTTTATTTTATCAAGAATCCCTAAATACATTGCAGAAATTCCAGACCAGATGTGGCAGCAATGTTCAAAGTGTGGGTGAATTGTAAATGTGTAAAATAGATTTTCGAAAGAAAAAAATATCTAGCTTGACACACTGAGCCAACTTTCGTAGCATCAGTCCTAGCAATGGATTCAATGTATCTATAATATAAATATATGGTCAATGGTTTTAGAAAAGAAATGCATTGATCTCTAGGTGGTAACGTACAGAGAATTCAGAATTGAACCCTTTATTTAATCTACGGGAGTTGACTGTTCTCGATCCACTGACCATGCATCATATTACACGGATCGGCATACAACTGATAAAGTCCGCAGTGTATAATGGTCGAAACTTTATGATAGCAAAAACAAATATGAGGAAACTTGTCCGCATGGAATTAGTGTAAATAATGAACCTCTCATCCCAGAAATTAAGATACAAATTCATTCATTCATTCTTTCTTTCTTTCTTTCTTTCATTCTTTCTTTCTTTCTTTCTTTCTTTCTTTTCTGTATTTAGAATCTATCTATCTATCTATCTATCTATCTATCTATCTATCTGTTTAGAATCTATCCATCTATCTATCTATCTATCTATCTATCTATCTATCTATATTATCTGCTTATAATCTATCTATCTATCTATCTATCTATCTATCTATCTATCTATCTATCTATCTATCTATCTATTTCTTTCCTATCCGTCAATCTATTTTAAAACTTGGTTGATGTATAGGTGTAGACATATTCTATTACGAATAACAAGTGGCAAAAAATTATTAAAGTAATCAAATTGAAGCACACAAATCTAATTAGTGTTTCTCAGACATTTTACCTTTAATGAAAAAAAGAAAAGCCTTCACCAGATTAACTAGGAAACAATTTTAGACTGTTTTTAAATATCCTATTGGAAGGAATAAAAGAAAGATACTATTTAATATCGGCCGCTCGCCAATTATAACGGAAGAACATGGACTCATTTTTAGACATTTCCCGTCTCTTTTGGGACGGCGATGATTTGAACGCTTTATGTTGTCTGTTTTAGACACTTGGTGAAATGCTAACTAAGCGTCAACCAAATAATCAAGTGCGAATTGTGCGTTTTGATAATACTTTCTCTTGCTATAAGAAAATTAAACTGACTTCCGCCGTAGGGAAATCACAGAGACGTAAATTAAAGTGTTGAATACTCGAAAAAAGAAGCGAGATTTGGATAAAAGGTGGGGAGGGGAAGAAAGAGAGAAAAAGAAACAAACAAACGACAAATAAAGAGAAAAAGTATAGTAAGGAAAGAAAGAAAGAAAAAAGAAAGAAAGAAAGAAAGAAAGAAAAAAGAAAGAAAGACAGAAAAAAGAAAGAAAGAAAGATAGAAAGATTTATGAAGTAGAAAGGATAGAATATTAGAAAATCGAGAGAAAAAATAGACGAGAAAAAGAGAGAAAAAAAATGAGAAACAAGGGAAACAAGTTTAGGGAATAAAGAAAGAAAGATGAAGTAGAGGAGACAGAATATTAGAAAATAGAGAGAGAGGCAATTTATGAGAAAAAGGAGAGAAAAACAAATAAAAGAAAAATAAAGAGAAAGAAAGAAAGAAAGAAAGAAAGAAAGAGGAAAGTGAGAAAGATAAAGTAGAGGAGACAGAATATTAGAAAATAGAGAGAGAGGCAGTGGACGAGAAAAAGGAGAAAAAAAAAAAAAAGAAAAATAAAGAGAAGGAAAAGAAAGAAAGAAAGAAAGAAAAGAAAGATGAAGTAGAGGAGACAGAATATTAGAAAATAGAGAGAGAGGCAGTGGACGAGAAAAAGGAGAGAAAAACAAATAAAAGAAAAATAAACAGAAAGAAAGAAAGAAAGAAAGAAAGAAAGATGAAGTAGAGGAGACAGAATATTAGAAAATAGAGAGAGAGGCAGTGGACGAGAAAAAGGAGAGAAAAACAAATAAAAGAAAAATAAAGAGAAAGAAAGAAAGAAAGAAAGAAAGAAAGAAAGAAAGAAAGAAAGAAAGAAAGAAAGATGAAGTAGAGGAGACAGAATATTAGAAAATAGAGAGAGAGGCAGTGGACGAGAAAAAGGAGAGAAAAACAAATAAAAGAAAAATAAAGAGAAAGAAAGAAAGAAAGAAAGAAAGAAAGAAAGAGGAAAGTGAGAAAGATGATGTTGGGAGACAGAATATTAGAAAATAGAGAGAGAGGCAGTGGACGAGAAAAAGGGGAGAAAAACAAATAAAAGAAAAATAGAAAGAAAGAAAGAAAGAAAGAAAGAAAGAGGAAAGTGAGAAAGATGAAGTAGAGGAGACAGAATATTAGAAAATAGAGAGAGAGGCAGTGGACGAGAAAAAGGAGAGAAAAACAAATAAAAGGAAAATAAAGAGAAAGAAATATAAAGAAAGAAAAAAGAAAGAAAGAAAGTAAGATAGAACAAGCAGAAGGGAAAGAATATTAAAAAAGAAAGAGAGAGAAAAAAGAGGGAAGATACGAATGCATTGTTTTCAATTATATCTGGCTTTACATTGCGTAGTTTTAGAAAAGAGCTCAAGAAACCAAAGAAGATTGAATCGTGCAAACAATGTTGCATCTGCTAATGATGGGACTGCACTTTTCCATGCAGGAAACAAACGACATTCATTGACTGAAAATTCTGCATTACTGTCGGTTGGGATTTATAAAATCTTTCTCTTTATTTTACAGGAAAATAGGATTCCTCAAATCCCCTTTTCAATATTAATAGGAGTTTCCTTCCTAACCTTTTGTCTCATGTAGTGTGGAACAGCTAACATCTTGATTATATAATTATTTTCTCTTTTAGTTATGTGCCATCCATTTTAGTTGCTTCTGCCATTAGGTTTTTAAGTACTTGATTCTGTAGCGCCAATCCACGCAGTTCGAAGAATGGTGGTCCTCGCTAAGACCTACAGGCTTCATTCACTCGAAGCTATTTTAAACAATGATCTGAAAAAGCGGTTGTATCCACCTGACAGTGTAGACATTTATGAACGGATTGGGTATCATGCATAGCATTCGTAGGAAGGTTTGTAACCTGCCGAGGAACACATTTTAGGTTTACATACTGATTTTGAAGTAACTTGCGGTATTGAGCGAAACTATTCCTAACGCAGCCTAGCCTTTGTTCAATTTCCTGGTCTCTGATAATAACTTTTTTTTTATAACTGATCCTAACACCGATGTATAAGGACACTTTTAAAAGTAAAGACAAGCAATTATTAAATGTTAATTAATAATGACTCAGAATCACAGAATCAGATAATGATGTTCACAATTCGAATATACCAATGAAAACCGGTACAAGACTTCCTTTCAGTGGAAGGTTAAAACCATTCGAATGAATAAAGCCTAAGGTAACTAAGATCTATAATCTCGGAGGGATTTTATTAGGCTATATTATTAAAATTATTTTATTAGGTTATATTATTACAATTATTTTATTAGGCTATATTATTACAATTATTTTATAAGGCTATATTATTACAATTATTTTATTAGGCTATATTATTACAATTATTTTATTAGGCTATATTATTACAATTATTTTACAAGGCTATATTATTACAATTATTTTATTAGGCTATATTATTACAATTATTTTATTAGGCTATATTATTACAATTATTTTACAAGGCTATATTATTACAATTATTTTATTAGGCTATATTATTACAATTATTTTACAAGCCTGTATTATTACAATTATTTTATTAGGCTATATTATTACAATTATTTTATTAGGCTATATTATTACAATTATTTTATTAGGCTATATTATTACAATTATTATGGGTCTCATGGTCAAAAAGCGAACGTTTTAACCCTAAACCTAACCACTCTGCTCATTACGGTCGATTTGCCATGATGGCGACTCTTTGATGTTATTGGCCTGTAGAGGTGGTCCTATCGTGCGACACCTTTATGAAGTGCCGGAAAACCATACCATGGCTCTGATGGCAATTGGATAGTCGGAACTATTTGGGAGCCGTCGCTGGGTGAGCTAGCACGAATTCGAGGGTTTCAGTGTATTGGCCTTGTTCAGACGGTTGACCACGCCAGATAATGCGTCCTCTCCCATAAATTGTAATTAAGGTCTGCTCAGCATATTTACAGTATGAACTACAGCTGGGCTCTTTGAGTGTCGAACAAGCACAAATGTGTCTGATCAGGCGTCTGCAATAGGGATTTTCTAGCCGACCTAGCAGACAGATATACTCGGATATGAGCGGCCAGTCATTAGTTACATTGAACTTATTCTATTTTATTATTATTTGTTGCGCCTGATATTTGAGTAAATCGCTGCGGCGTGTGTGATGGTTAATGAGCTTGGACTGATTGAATATCGATGCTAAAATTGTCGAAATCGACCCCATTTGAAAGAACACAGTATATGTAAGAAGATCTTATAGTTAACTTTGACACATAAATTAGTTTATATTTTTTGAATTTACCCTTTTTCAGTCATTTAATGTCGAATGTTTTATGGGACACTCAGTGCGGTTCAAATTTACTACTCAATTTACATACCTAAGCACAAAAAAATAAATATAGCGCGAACAATGAAAGGAATAATAATAATAATAATAATAATAATAATAATAATAATGAATGGATGATCTCAAACTCTTTGCCAAAGACGACAATGAGTTGAAAGGCCTCCTCAATATTGTAAAATACTTCAGTGACGACATAGGCATGTGCAAAGGTAACATTCAAGAAAGGTAGAATTACAGAAACACCCTTAATAGATTTGGATTTTGTCACAAAGATTAGGGAACTGGAGCATGATGAAGCTTATAAGTACCTAGGAATTAGCGAAGGAGATGGCATACAACACCCCCAAATGAATGAAAAAAATAAGAAAAGAACACTACAGGCGTGTACGTCTGGTACTAAATACTGAGCTAAGCTAAAAAAAAAAACAGAATATCAGTCATAAACACATTAGCTGCCCTTATGGTGCAATACAGCTTTAATGTCCTTAACTGGACCATAGCTGAAATTAAGCGAATCGACGCCAAAACGAGAAAGCTTCTCACTTGCTATCGCATGCATCATCCCAAAGCTGATGTCGATCGTCTGTATGTGCCCAGATCCGAAGGATGCAGAGGATTAGTTCAACTAGAACTGTTCTACAAAACTACAACAATTGGCCTCCAAAGTTATCTGGAAACTACAGAAGACTGGATGATGGTATGCGTCAAGGAACATGAAAGTAGTAAGCGTCTTTACTCCGTAATGAAAGAAGCCAACAAATTCAAAATGGAGTTTCAAATAGGCGCAGAGATGCAACTACAGCACAATACACCGGCTGAAACTGCAAAAGACTTAAAAAAGACAGCAAAGACGAATGCAACCGACCAGATACAGAAGCGATGGCAAGATAAACCGCTTCATGGCCAATACTCTGCCCGTACCAAACAAGCTGACGTAGACAAAACCCGTACCCATCAGTGGCTACGTAGTGCAGGGTTGAAAGCGGAAACTGAAGGTTTTATCCTTGCTGCGCAGGACCAATGCTTGTTAACTAGGAATTATCAAGCACATATACTAAAATATTGTGTCAGCCCAAAATGCAGATTCTGTGATAAATATCCAGAAACGATTGATCATCTTGTATCAGGTTGCACGGTGTTGGCACCCACTGAATATAAAACCCGACATGACAGAGTGAGCCAATATCTGCACTGGAAAATTTGCAACTTCTACGGGAAGGA